TTTTTCGACTCATTTTTATTGGAGGATTTTTTTCATGCCGTTCACTAAAATATTCATAACTCTTCAGGATTTTTTTCCTAAGTCAACGTAAAACCATATCAATAACTTATAGATTTTATGGCTTTATAAGGAATAAGTAAATAAAACCTTCCCAAAAGTTTTTATTTTTTATCTCCAAGCCTAATTTATTCGCGTTTAGTCTGTGCCATTTTATGTGTATTACAGATCCCTAAATGAATGCTAATTTTCGTGTGGATAAGTGGAGCCTTGTCGAAGTTATCGCAAATTTTGTGATTTTCGAAGACAAATCGGAGTGTCCAAACTAGGTAAAAATATCCTGCAAAAAAAAAATTATTTTGCGATTGGTATGAAAATTCGTATTTCAGGGTTTTTCGAGGTGAGAAATACAAATCTCAACTTCGTCTCATCTAAAAAAAAAATATGTGAACCCACTTTATCCCTAAGGTCAGTTGCTCTCTAAGGTCTTTATCCCTAAGGTCAGTTTATCCCTAATTGCTTCAATATTGTACTCATACTATAACTGTATTCCAAATATATATTTTTTTGTTCTGAGCTGGACTAATAAATATATTTATATATTGAAGATTTAATTTATATATAGTATTTCAATATCAAAAGAGCAAAAAAAATTAACATTTTTCGATTACAACGAATATTCGTATTTAAGGGTTTTTAGAGTTGTGAAAAACAAATTTGATCTTTGTTTTTCCAAAAAATATATTTCCTGGTCTATGAATATAATATACACAATACATGTTGTTTTCTGATTTTCGTATCGAATATTGAATCGCTGGAAAAACAGACAGTTAATAATTATATTATTAAGCCACTGTAAGACAGTCGGTTCTTCCTAAAGATACTACAGAGCTCTCTACCGAGTATCCCATGACTCATAGGTTGTTGCTGAAAACACTAGATAGCGTAAGATGTATTATTTAGTCGCGGGTATATCTGCTTCCACCCTTTTTTAAACTTTTCTAGTCTTTTGTGCACAGTTTAGCTCTAAAACTAACAGCAATTGGTTGTATTTTGAAGTGCAAAAGTTTAAAATAAGTTTTAATTTTATTAAAAATCTTTATACCAATTTTTAATTTTTTTTCAATTGAAGTATAATAAATTTACCATACAATGAAATATTTTCCCATATCATAAATTGGTTAATAATAAAAAAAAAATAAAAATGTTCAAATGAAGAATAAAAAAATGTCACTTTATGTACCAAACAAATATTAGAATATATAAAAAAAATAATGTAAATGTTACAGTATAATGTAAGACGATTATCAAATTATAAAATTAAAAGGAAATCTAAAATTAAAAAAAAATAACTGTTTGTTGAAATATGAGCTAACATCATATTATAAAAAAATGTATAAGTGAGTTACAAACAACAAAACAATTTAATGTGAAAAGTGCAAAAGACGGGAGCAATTCAGTGAATGAATCTCGAGCACACAGGGTTGGCTAAACCCACAAGCGGACCCAGGATTTAATTTTTGGGGGGGCTTCAGCCCGAAAGATTTTTTTTTCACATGTATATACAAAACTATAATTAATTTGAAAAAAAAATAAAGAAATTAACTACCTAAATGAAATGGTGTTCAAATGGTTCTTGAAGTCCTATTAAATGTTATTATACGAAGAAGAATACTTTAACAGATAATTTTTAATATTTTTTTTCTGTAAAACATGGTTATATTTTACCATTTTGGGGGGGACTTCAGCCCGAAAGCCCCTCCTTTCCCCCCCCCCCCCCCGGAGATCCGCCTGTGGCTAGACCTTCAATACCCCGTGCACACGGGACCTGACCTTGACTCAGGCTTCGCGCAACTAAAGGGTTAACAATAAATGCCTCAATAGAAGAAAAAAGACTACGTGGAAGTACAAAAGCAGATGGATAGATAGAATCGACAAAGATGTAATAGAATTGCGTGCAGATAACTGGAAAGAAATAGCGCAAGACAGGCAGAGATGGAGATCTACAAGATCTGTAAAGCCCACAAAAAAAAGAAAAGAGAAAATGCCCCATTTTTTAAAATGTTCGTAGATAAAAAATTAGTAGGTTATGATAAGACCAGGCCATTCACGAAGTTTTAGGCAGATTTTAATCATTTGATAAAACGGGTCCTAAAATACAAGAATTGTGATAACTTCAACAAGACTCCTTCACTTATCCATACAAACATTAGCATGCATTTAGCGGGATCTACAGCAGGGGTATCCAAACTTTTCCAGCCTACGGACGCATTGAGATATCCGCCAAATTTCGCGGACAACGGCTTCATAGGTGAAATGAACTTTTTGAGAGAAGCAAGCCATTCTATCAAAGTTTTAGTAATCTTCTATTCAATTGATTTATTAAATTTCTTTTTTACCCAATTTTATAATGTAATTGAAGAGACTATCGCGGGCCGGATTGGAAGTGTTGGTGGGTCGGATGTCACCTGCAGCTTGGGGAACCGTGATATACATGAAATGGCACAAACCAAACACCCAAAAATTTATATATTTTTATTTTAAAACAAATTTATATTATAGTTTTAAAGGATGACAAATATTTACTCTGCTTACTTTATTGGAAGCGTCATTTGTTTTTATAAAATATATATATTATACATTTGAACTACGTTATAATATAATCAATATGTTTTTCTATTTTACACAAAAAAACAAACAAATAGATTGATATATTATATCCTAGAAAATCATTCAGGGCAAAGGCAGAAAACGATAACATACAAAATGTTAACAATTTATAACTTTGTTTCTCACCCAATGGCAAGAACCCTCCGGCATGGGTCTAAAGGCCATTTTACACGGTCAAGTCTCTTCTAAAAACTTTGTACAAGAACTTGTAATTTAAATACTTTGGGTTCCAACCACTAGAGGTACCTATCACAGAGTCGATATACAGATAGACTCTTTTAGACACATTTTTCTCTGGTACAGTCGTTTGTAGTTTTCCCACTTTTAACATATTTTCCCACTAGGTATGACTGGAAAGTAACCTTATCTTCCAGTGTTTTGTTCGGTGTTCGTTCTGTGCAATTAGTTTTTTTTTTTCTTTCCATTTTTTATAATGTAACAGAAAAAGATTATTTTGATGGCTGCAACTTCAGTGTTACGGAGAGCTCTCACCACTTTATTACTTCATCTGAAGTTGAATAGGAGTCAACAAAATAAACGTCGAAGACTTTGGACGAAAAGTTGGATCTCGCGTCGTCTAGAAGGACAAGCAGTTCTTAATGCTGCAGAATGAGCTGAGGGAGCATGACCAATCTTCATTTATCAATTATTTGAGGTTGAATGAAGGCAACTTTGATGAGCTTCTTGGCTCTATGGTCTATGCCTCTCATAGACCATAGGTTGGATGCCATTTCTCTCAAAGAAAGGTGAAGTATCTGCCATTATAATGTTCACTTTACTTGATATAATTACTTTTTCTTTTTTTTTATTGAACCCTCTACCCACCATTTCTGGTATATGGGGGGAGGTTGTTCTAGACGTACAACCAAACCTATACTAACCAGAGTGGGAGGGTCGAGTTTCATTCTGTGGATCCACCACTAAATAAAAGACAGGAGAAAGACTGTAAAGCAATTGCTTATAATTTATAGCGCTCCTGTAACTATCCTCTGCCAATTTTTAAAATTATTGTATTACTGTTTCAATTTTTTTTTTTTAATGTTACATTTCTTATTTTTCAGGAGCTATTTATTGATGGTAAGCACATAGCATTTTAGACCTCTAAGTAGTACAGGATAATTTTTTTTATAATTATACGGATTTTCATTCCTTGGTGCTTCTCGCAGTAGTTTACAGCAACTACAGATTTATTTATGCTGATGCAGGAGTAAATGGGCGGATTAGTGATGGAAATTGAATTAGTCCCAATGTATAACACTTCCAGCATGAGAAAAACCAATTTCCTATCATTTCATTAGGGATGATGCATTCTCTCTGAATCCATACCTTATGAAGTCCTATACCTACAGAAATCTAACTCAAAATATACTTTTTGTATATTGAGTAATCGGTTTAGAATTTTTTTGACAACTATAAATTTGCCACCAGATAAAGTACAATTGATCATTCACACATGTGTTGACCTTCATAATTTGCTGGCTACAAAAAATTCTAGACATAGGATGGAGGTACACAATTACAATAAAATGAGCCAGGTACTTACTGATAAACATTCTTATTCATCTGTATGTTTATTGTGTCTAGATAATATGGAATCAAAATTGACTGGTTTATTCTCAGAGATGGGACATAATCCTTCAATAACAGCCAAAATTATAAGGGAAGAACTGAATAATTAGTTTAACCAAAATATATAATAAATGAGTTTGTAATTAATAAGAGACTTCTCTATGATTTTTTAGCTTGTTATGATTAAATAATTAAAAAATAAATTTAAGTGTTTTCTTTCTGTTAACCAATCCCCTTTTGTACTTTTTAATTTAATTTTTTAACCATAGTTATTAAATTTATTTACAAATTATAATCATAAAAATCTGTAAATTATAATCTTTCAATAGCAACCAAAATTTTAAGGGAGGAACTGAATCATTATTTTAACTAAAATATGTTGTGAATGATTTTGTAATTAATAAAGACTTTTCTATATTTTTGTAGCTTGTTATAAATACATTTAAGCACTTTCTTTCTGTTATCCAATCTCCTTGGTCGTATCTTTTTATTTTATTTTTTCAAACTATAGTTAATAAAATTTATCTATAAAAATGGGAACACAAAGTTTACTATCTCAAATCATCTTAAAATTAGGAATAGAATTACTATTGGTGTAGATGGAAAAAATAAAAAATAATAGTGAGATTTAATAAATTGTTTTAATTTCTATTAAATTCTCTCCCAAAAAAAGCTTCATAAAATAAATTGTTTATTTTTCTTTTAAAATAACCATTTTACTTTCAGGAAATCTCTGGTTGACTAATCTTCTATATAAAGATTCTTCATTCTCTTTTCCACTTGAATCTCTTTCTGTTTAACTTTTCAGTCTTGAAAAAAAAAATCATAATTATTGATATCTAATGTTTGATAGGATTTGAAAATAAATTTACTTACAGAAGAAACTCTTACCAATATGTCACTAACAGCAATGGTAAAATGTTCCAAATCTCCTGTATCCTGCCTCCTTTTTCTTTTAGGTACTGAGGATGGGCGAGGCTCCATCCTTTCAGAATATTCTGGATCCAGTCTCTTTGGGGGAATTTCCTTTGAGCAGGATGGACCAGTTTTGCAAAATGGAAATCCAGAATAATCTAGATCTAGCCTACTTTGGGGATATATTCTGTGGGCCAGACCCCTCTTCCGTGCACCTCCCCTCCCCCCTATAGATTCCATTTTGTTGTGTTCCTTGTAACTATTTATTTAAAAAAAAGTGATCGAACTGCCCCAAAATGGTGTCCAAACATAGCTGACGACTTTTGGTATTTTGGTCAATGAGAATCAGCATTTGGCTTAATTTTGTCATAGTTGGTTTTTTATTAAAGCTGGATAGTCAGGGAATAATAAAATATGAAAAAATATTGACAAATAATTGGCTTAGGCAATAAAAAACACCAGTAGTCAATTCTTTTAACAAAAAAATTTTCAAGTTGAAAATCAAGCATCGTTTGTAATTAAACAGCCAACAATATTGCAAAATGTGCTGAAATAAAACATCAAGATAATATATTTTTCTTTTTAAAACACTGATTAATTTTTAAAATATTTGAAGCAGTTCTGTAGAAAATGTAAATAAGTGGCAGAAAAGTGGTTGTGCGTGGGTGCCTACAGGTGTCTACCACACCATTCAGTACTCATAAATGGCTTAGTTATAGTGACATAATAACGTTTTTTGTACCTTATATTGATTGTACTAAGGAACAAATATTAATGCAATAATTTAATTGTCTAAAAAAGTTAAACATTTTTTTAAAAATTTATTATTTCATTTTTTATAATTTAATTTCCTTTATTCCATTTGGAGGTCGTTTAAGAAGGCCTCTATTGTAATAATGATATAATTATAATAATAAAACTTAATTAAAAAATACTTTGCTTAATATCTTTAATTTTTTATTTAACGTTTACAATTCTTTGTTTTGGAACGTTCGCAACACTTTGTTTTGTATATTTAATGATTCTTAGAGGTAATTTAAATTGTATATATTTCCCCAGAAATGAGTCATATTCATATCTGTTTTATAAACTAAAATAATATATACCTAATCTGAACTACATATAAAGAATAGTTGATGGGTTGTTTAGTAAAACTCATATATCACTAATAAAAAAATTAATTTTTATATCCTATATTTTGTTCGGAAGTTGGACTATATCATAAAAAAATAGGAAATTTTAATATTGAATACATTATTCTCTCTGCATAAAGAAAGATGGAAAGGGCGAAGCTATAAGTTCCTCTAGGTAACCGGAACTGATTGTTAGTATTTGGTCTCAAAATGAGGGAAAATGTGAAATTTAACCCAAAAATTGGAAAAATACATTATGCGAATGAGAAAGGAAGAGCCAAAATCTCGGAAAAGAAAACAAGTATCAGTATCCATTATATGGCTAAACGAATATACAGTAGACATATGAACAGAATATTTCAAGATGCTGCTAAAAGGGGTTCAAATGCTGGAGCAGCATTGGTGATATTAAAGGGACGATGCAGGTTATCTTGGTGAAGACCATTTTATCAGCAAGAAATATTTGTTCGAAGCAATTGGCAATTCAGCAGCTTTGGACTAAGTAACTGAGGTATATTACGGTGAAAACAACTTTATTTTCAATTGCTATTGAAGTTACAACGTTGGGACTATCTTCACTTTGAAGCAGGTTATAGACAGGTCTATCGAGAAAGGGATATAGATCTCCTTCTATTTAGTGCATTTGCAAAAGATTTTTTGAGGAATCAGAAAGGAAAACGAGCTTTTCTTTAAGATTAGTAGATATTAGCACAATCCAAAGTGTGAGGCACTAAGCAGATAGAGAGCTATTTTTCTTTCTTGATAGACTTCTTTATATTATAACCTGCTTAAAGTGAAGACTGTTTCAATTAGCACCTCCTGTTGCAATGTGCAATTTGAGTTTCTCAATCCATATCGTTCTGGCAATTGATATTATTTCTTATTCTAGCTTCTACAATTTTTGAGTAGTGTTTCTTTGGTAAACTAAACAGGAATGAATCTCGATGGGTATTACATTTCCTAGTATCTCCTATCTTGCAAAGGGATTAACTAAAGTTTTTATATCATTTTCTAATACACTTATTGCCTATGTACACGCAAAACAGTGCGAAGCAGCTCGGTATAGTTAGTTCAGACCTGCTGACTTACCATTTGCTTCGAACAAATCTTTCTTGCTGATAAAATGGTCTTCACCATAATAAACCTGCATCGTCCCCTTAATATCATCCAAATTGCTCCAGTAGTTGACCCCCTTTTAGCAGCATCTTGAAATATTCAATTCATCTGTCTACTGTATATTCGTTCAGCCATATAATGGATAATGATCCTTGTTTTCTTTTCCGAGATTTTGGCACTTCCTTTCTCGTTCGCTTAATGTATTTTTTCCAATTTCGCATTGTCCCTCATTTTGAGAACAAATATTCAACTCGAAAATTTTGTTGCTAAATTAATTGGCTTTACTGGTGTCTTTTATTGCCTAAGCCAATTATTTTTTCATGTTTTATTATTTTATGACTATCCAACTTTAATAAAAGACCAACTATGAGCACTAGCGGATCCAGAATTTAATTTTGGGGGGCTTCAGCCCGAAAGCTGTTTTTTTTTTTTCATAAAAATGACAATAATTACTTTGGAAAAAAAGAAAGGAACTAACTATCTATATGAAATGGTGTTTAAGTGATTCCTTAAGTCCTTTTAAATGTATTTACACAAACAATAATACTTTGAGAGATAACTTTTTAATATATTTTTCCTTAAAACATGGTTATATTTAAACATTTTGGGGGGAGGGGCTTCAGCCCGAAAGCCCCCTCCCTCCCCCTGTGACTATAATGAAATTAACTCTTTTTTTTTTCTTTTTTTCCTGGGAAGTTGTCAATTTATTTAGTTGCTTGGCAATAATAACTTCCAATTATTAACAATACGAGTATATTTTTAACGTTACATGTTAACAGTCTAGTTTACGTTTCGGGACCTTTTATTCCCATCTTCAGAACTGCAATTCCAATACTCTTGTGGATGCAAGGCTAAAATTTTTTAAGTTACAATATTGTGCTTGTTACATTACATATTTGTATTATGTTTGTTACAATAAATTTGTAATTACCTTAATTCTAATAATAACAATAATGTGCTCCATCGTCAATTTTCTAATTTATGTTCTAAAATTCATCATCTAGAGCAACATTCTCCTTTTGACCAATAATTGGGTTTCTGCCATAGTGAAAATTTGACCTTTGGATCTAAATGTTTTATCTGACTATTTTGATTGTTGTTGTTAGTGTTATTTTATGTGTCTGTGATTTCACTTCTATTAAATTTTAATTTTGTTCAATATGTCTGTATAATGGGTTCCTAAATGTTTAGTGTCTGTTTTGTAGTTGACTGTTGTTTTTTGTAATGTGTATTGCTTCAAGTAATTTTCTGTTGGTGTTCTTTGGTTCTGTGCCTATTATTTGTGGTTTGTTGAAGTTAAATTTATGCTGTAGTTTTATACTGTGATGTGCTAAGGCTGTTGTGTTTATGTTTTTTGGATTGGAAATTAACTCAAATGCTAAAGTCAAAGTCGTTTGGACACCATTTTGGGGGAGTGCGTTATCTATTTTTTGTGGGAACATTGGCTTTTTTTTTAATAAATAGTAACAAGGAACACAACGATATGCAATTTATAGGGATGTGGGGGGGAGGGGAAGATCTGTCCCACAGACTATACAGGATACAGTTAGTGTTGCCCAAATGCGAGACCAAGACGAGTCTCGCATTTAGGCAACACTAACTGCAACACTTTAAATTTCGTGTTTTCCCTCGTCTTGAAATCAAATACAAACAATCAGTTTCGGTTACCTAAAAGAACTTATGGCTACGCCCTTTCCATTTTTCTTTGTGCAGAGAGAATAATGCATTCAAAATTAACAAAATAAAGGAAATAAAAATTAATTTTTTATTAGCGATATATGAGTTTTACTAAATACCCCGGCAACCATTCATTATATGTAGTTCAGATTAGGTAAATATTATTTTGTTTTATAAAACAAGTATTAATATGACTCATTTCCGGGGAAGTATATACAATTTAAATTACCTCTAAGAATCAGTAAAGATACTAAACAAAGTATTAAATTGCAAACGTTAAATAAAAAATTCAAGATATGAAGCAAAGTATTTTGGAATTACGTTTTATTATTATAATTGTATCATTCTTACAATAGAGGCTTTCTTAAATGACCTCCGTACAGAATAAAGGAAGTTAAATTAAAAAAAATAAATAATAAATTTAAAAAAATTGTTTAATTTTTTTTGACAATTAAATTATTATATTAATATTATAGCACTATAGCTAAGCCATTTATGAGTACTGAATGGTTTGGTAGAGGCCTGGGGGACTTTCGGGCTGAAGTCCCCCCCCCTAAAATGGTAAACTGTAACCATGTTTTACAGAAAAAAATATTTAAAACTATCTCTTAAACTACTCTTGTTCGTGTAATTATATTTAATAGGACTTTAAGAAGCACTTAAACATTTCATATAGGTAATTAATTTCTTTATTTTTTTTTCAAATTAATAACGTTATATGTATATGAAAAAAAAAAATCTTTCGGGCTGAAGCCCCCCCAAAATTAAATCCTGGATCCGCTAGTGCATCAGGGTAAAGGTGGAATGAACTTATTTTAAGTTAACCTATGTCAGAGATGGAATGGGAAAAAAAGAAGAAATATAAGATGCTTTTAAAAAAATTTGTATTGATAGATATATCTATAAAACAGATAACAGTTCCAATTCACAAATTTGCTCGTCCGGAAAATTTAATTTTATAAAAATTTATATAATAGTATCATCCAATCAGCAGTTATTACTTCATTAATTTAACAAGAATAAATAGTGCAAAAAAAAAAATTAAAATACAAAATGCAGTCTATATCAATAAATTATAAATAATAAAAGAACAGTAACAATGAGGTAATATTAAACAATAAACATTAAGCATACAGTAGTCTCCTAAAATAGATCACAGGTCAACAATTAACTTTAATAACCAAAAAAATCGCGTTTATTAAAAACTATCACGAAACTAAAACTTACTCTGAGGTGACGGAACCTTAAATATAGTTCCACCAGGCATTTTCAGTGAAGGATCTAGTTTCTGCAGTTTGATACCAGCAGGGATAC